CAAAGAATTCTAAGAAATATGTTCAGCATGATTTCCCCTTTATGACTATGTATTTCTAAATGCTCTGCTATTACATCCTTTATAATAGACTCTTAACATTTGTTAAGCTAACAGACTTTTTTTTTGTTTCCTTCCCCTTTTTAAATAAAGGTACTTTATTGGTTATTTTCCATTCCTCCAAGACATTTTCAGAAACCAAGGATTCTTAGAAGATTACTACTAGTGTATCAATCATTTCTGCAGCTGTTACTTTTAATTGTAGGATATAACCCATCATGTAGAGACGACTTTGTAGATCTTTAGCCCCATTAGTTATTTATTTCTTTTGCTCCTTTTCTGCCTTGGATAATATAGTATTTTTGGAATGCTATTAATATCTTCTACTGTAAAAGACTAAGGTAAAGGAGTTATTAGATTCATCTGCCATTTCCGGGTAACCCACTATTATTTCCTTAGCCTTGATCTCCAAAGGGCCTGTATTAACTTTGGCCTCTCTTTTCCCTCCTATATATTTAAAACAACTCTTGCTATCAGTTTTGATATTACTTGCAAATTTATTCTCAAAGTTTATCTTCTCCTTCTTTATTGCTGGTTTTGGTTGTCATTTGTTGGTTTTTAAAGCTTTCCCAATCCTCTGCCCTTCCAGCAATCTTTGCAACAATATATTTTTTTCTTTTAATTTGATGAATTGATTATCTTGAACATTAAATTAACTTCTGAAAGAATTGATGAAAAGAGTTGTCAGCAAGCACTCTGTGCCGTGCTAAAACAGAAAAAAGGACCCCACAATACGAAGAGCAATAACAGGTGGAAGAAGCCTGGAACTGATATTTTCTGGATGCTCAAGATGCTAAACTCAGGAGGGATGAGAGCTAAAGCAATTTAGAATCGCTAACCTTGAGCGATATTGAAATCATTGATCTGGAAGCTGTTAATGGTAGGGAAAAGTAGCAACAAGGCAAAAAATGGTCTGGAAAAGAAAGGGTTGAGAAAATAAAACCAAGTCAGCTGACACTTCTGCTAATAAAGGGAAAGCAAAAGAGTGTGCAATGGAAGCAACAGAGATGGACAATAAGAGTTGGGGTTTAGGATACAAGAAGTAGATTGCAACAAGGCAAATGAAACACTGGAGAAATAATTTTGAATTCCGTGAGCAGGGGACAGGGGTACCAGCGGGGTTGGGAAAGACTAAAATAGTAAGCAAGCGGGACTCAGCATGGGCTGGGATTAGGGTCTCCGACTGTGATTAAATATATGCCTAGAAGTTTCATTACATGATTTGCCCACACATTCCAGCTATTAATTGGCTAACACACCCATCCCTGAGGTACTCCATTCCATTCCAATTGGTAACCAATAGGACTCATTGGATAAAGCTCAGACTGACAGCCAAACATCCATTTTGCCTACTTCCAATATTTTTTCTGACAAAACAGAAATTTTTTTTAATGACAAGAAGATTTTTAACGTTCTTGTGACTTTTCCCCAGAATTGCACATAGCAGTGTCCTGGGTATTGACCTTCAATTCCTTATGATTGCAGACCAATCCTGGAGGATTAGCAACCCCAGCCAGGATGTACACCAGAGTTTTTAGACCACTGGGGTTTGAGTTGGGTGAAGCTCAGAAGGCCACCAGTCAAAGTATTCGAGAAAGCAAAGCCTGAGGCAACGCAGCTGGATA